CAAACATTTTTCTACCTAAGCTCGATAATTGTACCAATTATCATTTGTCAATTTTATACAGAAACAGTCGGTAATATAAAACGAAACGTCAAAAGTAAAAATTCCCAACATTGACGCGTCCGTTTAAGACGTCCGTCTATTGTCTCGAAGGAGGCGAGGAAACTGAAATTCCACTTGTCACTCGTCAAATTCATCCATCGTACGCCACCGCTGACAATCAAATCTGACAGAAGTATGTTAACAATATTTATCGCGAAGATAAATCGCGGCAGGAATCACGATGGCATTCGAGATGGTTGAAGGACCGTGGAGACGCGTGCCTGCTACGGTGGATCGGGACGCGTATGCAGATGCACGAGGACGATTCGCGTGGAACGTTAGAATGCAGAAAAGAGGTGTGTGCCGGCGAGTTAACGTTTTGAGTTGAATTCTTGCCGAGTCAAAGGAACGCTTCGGGCACCAAGTCCATTATCCTCGCCTTCGACGAAGACCCGTTTGGATGCCGTGCACAACTCTCGTGTGAGAGTGCAACAATGCACTCCCATTCCGAAATGGCCTACGTTCTTCTTACACCTCAATGCGATGGCGACACGCCCGTTTGAAAATCCTCTATTGTCCACGTATTGAAACGCGACGAGCTGAGATCCCGCTTCTGTCATTTGTCAATCGTCTCGTCCAATTCACAATTGACCGTATCTGTCTCTTTGAAATTTTTTTCCCTCGCTTTCAGGCAGTAATTTAGAAAATGGTAAAATGTTTTCACTTCGTGGAGAATTCTTTCAACACTATCAAAATATGACAATTTGAGTACTTTTTTTGTTAGATATTTTATGGATGTAAAACAGTGTGCTTTTGGAAATTTGAATGATTCTTCTTACAATACATAAAAATTTTCTGCTTCGAGTCGTCGGTAGTTCTAGTGTCAAAGAAATTTTTTGTTTCGATGATATGAAACTTTTTCGAAGATGGATTATTATTGATTGTAGGCGAAATTGTCTCTTAGAGGCTACTAAGCGTTTCTAATTGTACAAAAGAGCACGAACTTTTTATATTTATAAAATTCAACAACGAATTTTAGAAAATCTAATATTATATACATAGTCCAATTACAGAAGATGTTTGCAAACAGATATGCATCATTGAATAAAATAGTTGAATGAACGTTTGATTAATTTTAATAAAAAAAAATACAAATTTATCTGAAAAATTATATGAAACTGTAGTCCTCCGAATTTTCACATTTGCATGGCAAATATATCATATTTAACAAATAAAATGATGTCCGTTTAGTTTAATAAAATACCTAATAAAAATTGAATCAGGAAATTAATCGATCATCTCGTTTCTTTCTAAAAACCGTCAATTCGAAAGAAATCAAATATTACAATTTGAAATCGAAATAAAATGTGTTTGACACGCGCGTCAATTTTTCTCGAAGTTGAAGATTCTTTCAACGAAGAAGAATCACGATTTAATCTGTATTTCCGCAAACGAACGAAAAGCTGTTCCTCGTACAATAAAAATTAAACGATCCACCAAAGTTATTAAATTTTCACCGGTGAGAGTTATGCACTATGGGATATTCGTCCACGATGGAAATAGAAACGTTTAGAAAGTAACATGCGTACGCTGCTCTGTGCACAAATTAATGATATACGTTTGAAAAACGATTGAGACTGGCTATCGGTTGTTCCACTCGGCGAAATATAAAATAAAGACAAGTTGTTTGACGGACTGGGGCACGCTAACGTTAAATTATGCGTGTAATTAATTTACATGAACACCGTGATAATATATTATCTCGTGTAATTTAAATCCTGCTCACTTGGCTATACCTAATACAGTTTAATAAGAAGCAAAAAGCAACGAAGGTGTGAGAAATAAATCCCGCTCGTCGAAAATGAAAATTGCATCTTTCAAAATTCCTTGCCACCATGGCGTATTAAATCTCGTTAAAAATCTCTCGCTAGCAGGATTTTTATTTCTTGTGAAGAGGTTATTGACACGTTTCGTGAGGTCGTTGACTGCTTGAAAAGTAACATACAGAGCAAGTGAAATTTTCTTCAATCATCTCTTCAGATCAGAGCATTCAAATCTCACAATTATAGAAGTGAAGTTTCAAGTATAGAAGAAGTTTCCATATAGAAATGGAACAAGAAATATGATTTCTGATGTAGAATTTAACGAAAAGAATTGTCATCAAAATAAAAAAAAAAAAAAAATATTAACTAAATTCGAAGCTTTCTAATTACGTTTCTAGTTACGCTTCAAACATTCAATTCCATGTTAGAACATCCCTTATCTCTTATCCCTTTATTTTTATCAAGAAAAAAATTTCTAAAAAAAAGTTCGAATATTTTGATCTCAATTGACAATTCGTGCTCTCGAAATAAATAAAAATCAATCTCTCTCGAACTGGAAATTTCAATCTCACTCGATCCGTGGAAGATTTAATATTCCATGAGAATTTTTCTTTTACGAGTCTGTGATTTATTCTGGCCAATATCCAGCCATTAATTGCAGAGGGAAGGCATTAAATTTAACACGAGCTCCTCGACATTTTCCATGAATTATAGAAACCCCTGGAGGGGTCCGACAATAGATAAAATCCGTGTTGCGTCCATCGATCTGTTCTGGCTGCAAAATTACACCACGAAATCTCCCGTGCGCAGTCATGCACTTCTTTGAAAATAGTTTCTCCGATTAATCGCTTTGCCATCGAGTCGAATGTAACGAAAGGTTATGCCGTTTTATTAAGAAACAACGGGTACGAGAAAGAGAGAGAGAGAGAGAGAGAGAGAACGGGGAGGCGAGCAGAAAGACACGGAGGTGAACAAAAAACCCCCAGCCGAGAAGAATTCGCTTTCTAAACTATCTTTGCAACAGGCTATTAAAAGCGACGTTTCTGTACCAGAAAAGTATAACATGATTTTATCAACTGTACGAAGTTTCGTTTATCATTTCTGGAAAGAAGCTTATTCAAATATAGAAATGTTTTTTAAATTGAAGCAGCTGGAAGATGCTGAAAGATACAAGGAAAACTCCCTAATGCTCTTGCGAGAAGAAACGAGTATTTAATACAATTATCCGTGAATATTTAATACAATTATCCATCAAGATGATTACAGCAATAAATCACAACTACAAGAAGATGTTTATTTATGAAAATTTAATGAAATATAATGTACTGTAGCAGTGATTCGCACAATATTGTGGATAAACGTTCAATTAGAATGACGAATTGCGTTTAATTAATTGATCACACGAAAAGCAGAATTGATTAAACAAACACAGGAATGAAGTTTCTTATCGTGTGATGCTTTATATTACAAAATTTAAGAATGACCTCGTTTATTCATTTTTGGAAGACTGTGATCTACCAATTGAAGAAAACAATGCACTTTTGTCTTGTAATGA